CAGACAGCGCTGCAACTTGCGCACAGTCTCCATCTCGGGGTGGTGGAGCTCATGTTGTAGGCATTCTAGTCTTTGAGGCAGGGTCAGGTTGCGCAGAAAAAAGTGGTGTTGTCTTCGGGCTAGCGGCTACAAGTCTGAGGTCCCGTGCATCTCCCATGGTTGCAGCTGCCCGAGCATGGAGCGAATGGAGCGAGTCTCCGAACGTCAGCCTGGAGCCGGAAGTCGTTGAGGCTGCCGTGGAGACTGGATCGCCATCATTCCTTCGGAGAGCACATCCAAAGCCAGGTGCCGTTGAGCCTATTTCTTAATGCAGGCTTCGCCTTCGTTGGTTGAGGGGCCTTGGGAAACACAAGAGTGCAGGAAGTGACAGAAGTTGGGACGGCTACAGTTCCGTCGAGACCTACACAGGCCCATGCCATCACCTTGTGCAACTCGAGTCGCACTAAAGCGCGACACTCGCGCAGGTTCTGCCGTAGGCTCTGCCCAGGGATCGGGCCCGTGCGGTCAAATGACGCCGGAGGCACACCACTTGCTGTCTCAGAGAGAAGCCGAAGCGACAAAGCATCCTTGTTTGGACTGTGCCTCATCCGCTGTCTGCTTGGTTCAGGCTCGTTTGGTTTCAAGTGGCCCGAGCGATGATTTCTCATACCAAGGCACGGTCGCCCCCCCTATGGTTCTGCACTCCCTCTCTCTCTCTCTCTACCTCTCCCTCCCTGTGCTGTCGGAGTCAGATGAATTTCAGTTTCAATTCCTGGGGAAGGCTCTTGTGTCAATGTGTCAATGTGCCGGGAGTTTCCCCGCCTGATCCCCTGAGTCTTGAAACCTGAGCAAAGCATGCCGCAGAGAGCTTCAGCAGATTTTCGGATGCTCTTTGCTCGGTGTCTGCTGGCATGTTGCAAAAGATTAGGTAGGGCCTTGCCATTGCCGTTATCCCACCGAATCCGCAAAACAGTGAGCATGTGTTGCTCATCGGGTATCCTGGTCAGGTATGTTGCTTTGGCCAGAGGCTCGTGAATAGCGTGTGCTTCGTGTTGTTTGTCAGGGAGTCAGACTTTTTTTTTAGGGTACCTTGTATGCGCAGGATCCTAATGCCGTGGGTGCAGTGCACCCGTACAATCATGCTACAGCCTGCCCAGGCACAGGATGTCCAGGAGTGGGTGTGTATGATGTGAATTGATTGTGATTCCTTGCAGGCTCTGCCGCAGAGGCTTCCTTCCGCATTCTTCTATCACGGCGCCCGGTCTATTTTGGTTTTTCCTGCGAGGTCTTCGGGAATTTTGCTGCTGATGCCTTGGGCGAACCCTATTCAGGCGAGCTGCCCTGACTGGCGGTCTTTACGATGCCAATGTGACTCCCGATGGAAGAAGTCTGTCTGCCAGGTTCCTATGCATTCGGTGCCTATGATTGGAGCACATTGGCACACGAGGCAACCTGACCTGAAGCAGGGGGTCAGTTGTATTGTATACAACTGTACACATAGATAAATAAATAAGTAAATAAATGAATCTCTGTATATACAAACAGGTTCTAGATGTTAGATTTTTGTACATGTATATGTACATTTGCGGACATACATATACAATCGTGTATGGTGTCTGTAGGTGTGTCTACATAGTGTAGATTATGCTGTCTCCCACCCTGCCAGTAGTGGCTTTGCGGTGTCACCGTGTCGACTGTGGCACAGTCCTGCTAGCAGTAGTTGCGGATATTGGCTTCCTACAAAGGCCAAAGATTCTGAAAAGCTCCGAGCCTTCCCAGGACGTGGAGTCGCAGGCGGAGGCCAAGAAGCCCGTTGATCCGGAGGCCACCGTCTCTGTCGCCGCCAGTCTTCCGTTCCTGCATTCACTTCAATCTTCAAGAGTACAGAAGCATACAGAAAGCTCGTTGCCCACCACAACTGCCCGAAGCGATCGCAGTGGTTCTGGACAGCAGTTCAACTCATCGCTGAGATGAAGTTTCTTGTGGAGCTCTGAGCATGTCTCGCGCAAGACAATCCTTTTGAAGCTTGCAGAGAGGCAGCCTCGAGTCGCCAAAGAGTCGTTTCCGTGCCTCCCCAACGAATCGGATCGGTGAAGTTGTCAATGTCAACACGTGGAGATCTCGCAGAGGAATCCCTCCCCTGCCCGCAACTATCACCTTGCTCGCATCTGCAAGCTCAACATGGCACAATCGGAACGCACCTCCGTGAGTAGCGTGAGCGGTGCTGTGCGTTCAATGCGTTGATTGGAGCGTTGCCTGCTTGCAGATCCTCCGCGCCAGAGAGGCTCGGGATGGCCTCATTCTTGAGCTTCACCTAGTGCTTCACCTAGTGTGAAGCTCGAAGGTTGCACTGGCTGGCAATGGATTAAGCGGGCTGACAACAGCCATGGCGCACCCGACTGGTCCTTTCGCATGCCGTCATTGCAGCTCTTCTGCACGTATGTGCCAGATACGGAATGTGCCGAGCAAGTACACGCAGCAAAAGCTGATGAGCCCCTCGGTCAAATATGTGCCTTTGTACGTTCTGGGGCAGTTTGGTATGACCTCTAACATTTGTAGCACTATGCCGTGGACACGTGGAGTGCATCGAGGTCTCTGCAATGCAAAGATTTGTTTCCAGGTATGCTCGTGTAGGGTAGCATGTCTTCCACAGCCAGCGCCGAGGGGAAATCAATGACATGGGTTTCTTGGGCCAGATTCTCAGGCTGAGATGCTAATTGCGATTGTCATCAGCATATCGGTGCAGGCAAATTCGACTTCTTCTACCTTCCGATGCAGCCGCACGGCCCGGGGAGTGTGCTGAACAAGCACGGTTTGAAGCGCAGTTGACGCTCTTGTTGCAGGCAGAGGAAATCGTGGCTTCGCATTCATCAACTTCATGGCATGGGAGGCCAGGGGTTTGTGCTGGTTTCTTTTTGTTTCTTTCTGTGATTACTGTTTGGCGGCACCTGTGCTCGTACTCTTGGAAGGGCATAAAGACATGTAAAGGCTGTGCCACTGCAGCATCTTCCTCTGTCGAAGTTTGATTTGCAGTCTATCCTGCCCTGAGACACTTTGCTGATCTTTGCTGACGAGCACGTCAACTCTCTGCCCCGGTGCATTCATCCAACCCACCCGAACGGCTTTTGCCAGGCGGCACAAGAGTTCTACGGGCGACTGCATGGCCGGCCGTTCGGGCCCGAGAGTCGGCTAAAAAGATGAGCAGTCAGACTACGGGGCAGGGCTTTCTTGTGGCTTTCGTTGTACGATTTCAGCGGGGTGCGTGCTGAACTTTGCGGAAGAAGATGCATTGGATTCCCGCAAGCGGCCTAGAAGCCCTCAACGCCCGCTCAGCGAGAGAATGCAACGGGCCACGGACTCCACACAAAGCCGCCGACTACCAATCGCTTGCGTTCAGAGTCAGACGGGCGGTTGCAACTGATGCCACGACTCGAAAGACAGAAGGAGGAGGGGGACATGATTGGAAAGAGGTGTTAGGCTGGTCTGCAGCTGCGAACGTGCTACGCAGAGTCTTGGCAAGGCTGCGGCTGTCAGCTCCGGATACTCCAGCGGCCATCATGTTGAGGGCTCAGCCACCTGATAGCTCGGCGAGGCTTTCGTCAACAACTGCTGTATCCGAGGCCGGCAGACTTGCAGGGTTTCGAACGCAACGACCCGGGCTCAGTTGCTTCATGGCCCCATTGCACCGGGGTCATGCGGTTTCATAGGACATAAAAAAAACGAGGCTGAGCATTACGCGAACATGCGGCTCAGTCGCAGCAGCAGGCAGCGTCTATTCAGGTAAATTTAATCGATGGTTTTTTCAGAGTGGTCACACTGTCTTGTGGTGCCATGCTCACACATGCCAGGCGTCCGCTACAGTGCGGCCGGGCGCTCTTCTTTCGTCCCCTGCCAGAGCACATCCACAACGTGGAAGGCCCCGGTGGTGGTAGACCTGGTGGGGCTACGGCTATGAGCGCCGCTTCTTGATAGGTTCCGCGGCAAAGGTTGTCAGTCAGGAGGACACCGGATGGAGCTCGCATGAGACAAGGCAGGAAGACGATGAAGATCAGAGGTCGATTCCCTAGAGAGAGGCCATGGAACTGTGAGAAGAGGTCTCAGAAGCCACCGAAGAACGAGATGAACCAGAGCATCGAGCGATCGCAGGCTGAAAAGGAAGTCACTGTGCGTCAACCTTTCAGCGTGGTTGCTTGCAGAGCACGTGCAAGGCAAGCTCGGGAGTTCGCCGGTTCTGCGCATATTGCGGCGTGCGCCTGAGTTTGTCGCCCTCGCAGCGACGACTTTTGCGATGCATGTCTTGCCTGTCAAACTGGTCCAGGCACGCCGATGTCGGCTGAACACTCCTTCTGTGGCATGTGCGGCAAGAGAGCAGCACCCCCGGACTCACCAAGCACCCGAGCGCTCTCGAACGTACTCGAACGTGCCTTGACCGGCCCAGGCAGCAGACGGCCTGTGTCCTCCGCAGAGCGGCTCCTGAGTTACTCGCTTGTGCTCTTTTGGCGAATTATTTACATGAAGAGTGTATAATCCCCCCGATCGGATGATCGTGAGATCACGCGACTTCGCGCTGCATCGTGGCTTTTGAGAGATACTAGTACAGAAGTGTTGTCGAGTCTGATCCACCCAGCTACCCGTAAGACATCCTACGACATGATCGACCGTTTCTTGGACAATTGATAAGAGGGCCATGGTGTGTCAAGGTATCACCTACTCCCCAGCAAGAGTTAGTTTCGGGCGTCTTAGCCCCGCGTGTCTGGAATGTGATGGTGAACAGGCCATCGCATGACCTGATCTGCGACTATCCATGACTTTTCCAAGTGCAAGCTGTGCAGGCTGCAAAACATGAAGGAACGTCGCAGGGTGCTGATAGAGTCTGGCATGCCCAAAAGCACTTTCCAGAAGCGCAGCCTCTGTCGTCATCATGAACAGGTCTTTCGGACTAGAATGCGCAAGAGTGCCTTTAGCTGCAGGGTGGATTGGTGGACTAGAGATTGGAGAAGGTTCGACCGAGACTCCCTCCGATGGGCCATGCGGTTGGAGAAGCCACTCGCCGCTCAGTCGAGCCAGTGCGCAGAGTGACGGCACGTCCGGGCTCGTCGCCAGTTGCTGCCTCCAGCTGGGAGCATGTAGAGGCAGTCCTCGCGGAGGATGCAGAAGTGGTGTCGTCGCTCGTCCTGGAGCCGGATTCAACATTCCGTGCCCAGGTCTTCAGACGCTCTGGTGAGGAAGCGAAACTGAAGCCACTGGAACCGGAACAACCCGCTTTGGGGCCTGAGAGGCAGGCATTTGGATGCTGGAGGCCCTGCGGTAAAGGTGTGGAGCTCGTCCTCGCAGAGGAGGTGGATCTTGGTTTGGAAGAGCTGGTGATCCTATATCGTCACAGGAGAGGCTGCCTGATGGCTGAGGAAACTTCTCTCCCCGACGGCCTTGCGCAGGCCGGGAGATGCCCTCGCAGAACCTGCAGGAAACCCTGCTGCAAAGATGATTGCAGGAATATTCCAGGTGTGCACCAGAGTCGGAGGCCGAAGGGTACCGATTGGTAGACGGAGAAGAGGATATCGTGTCCTTTAAGCACGGGGTCTCTCTTTGTGAGGTGGCCGCCTTGAATTCGGTACCAGAGGCCAGGACAACACAAAAGAGCCGCAGCCAAAGGCGAAGCGAGACCCCTCCCGATAGGCATGTTGCAGCCCTCGCAGTGAAGCCTGGGCCCAAGTTGTGGTTTTTGGGCCTCGGTCATATTCAGCCGCTTGTTTGCAGGTGTACGAGGATGATTTCGAGGATGACAGCGCCAGAGACCAAAAGATATCAACTGTGTGCCGAGTGGCATCAGTCTTTGAGTTTTGTGCTTATGCAGGAGCCCGAGCACCAGCAATGAAAGCTCGAGAATGTGCAGCCCGCAATAAGGGGTTTTCAACCTGGAGGTGAAGCACTCGGAACAGTCTCTAACTCTAACTGCATTGTAGGTCTGAAGATACGTCTGAAGATACATTGAACCTGCATGAAGTAAGAGGCTGAATTCGCTCCCGACGGTCCGCTTGCTGCGCGACTGGCAAAAGAAAAGGGGAAATGGCATTTGCAAGCCGGAGCACGGAAGCCAGCCACCAGTCTGATCGGAATGACGGCTGCGTAAGTGTTTTTGGTCCGAAGGACAGCATCGGAGATTCGAGTGGTGCCAGATCCCAGTCTGCCACGACAGCACGTCGCGCATTGTGTTCGGAGCCTCGTTGATGGAGGGTGGAAGAGCTCCTCTAAGGCCGTGGAGCTGCGACTTCAGACGGTCCTGGAGGTCGCAGCCCGTGTGTTTGTGCCTGTCCCCGGGGCTGGTGGCTGGTATTCACGATCCAGGTCGGCCCAGACCCGCTCCACTGAAGACGGAGGAGGAGAAGTCCCTCCCAACCGTTGCAGAGGACGGACGGACAGCTGCACCGAAGCAGCATGCAGTGGCCCGAACCCAAGAAGGCAAAACCTGAACCAGTTGGCTTGAAGTGCATGTACATAAGCACGAGGATGTTGCGACAACTTTCAGGCGAACCATTGTCGAACGATTTTAGCTTGCAAAAGCGGAAGCTTCGCTGGAGGGCTGTGGCAAAGTTGCTTCTTCGCGCACTACCGCCGAGACCCATTCCTTGTCGGTTTACGGTGCTCTCACAAAGGCCTTCAGAGCCATGGGACATAGGATATAGGATTCCTTGTATTATACATTACCACAGGACTTGAGTGGTCATGCCGGCTAGGGGCCAGCCAGAGGAGCAGATAATGGGCCCTGCCAAGAGGACGAAGGCAGATCCCCCAGTGTCTAAATGCACAGATGCTCAAGCCGTGAACCGATGCAGCCTTTTCTTCTAGGGAGCCATGTTCCCGGGTTTCGTTCAAGAGCTTGCAGAATGGCCTCAAACACAGCTTCAGATCGCTCCCACTTCTGCTAGTTTGGAAAGCATAACACACCCTCAGACTACACTGTACAGCCAAACATCTTTGCTGGTAAATGATACGCTTGAGAAAATGCCCGGTAGCTGCGATACTGAACCCGTGATCCCGCAGACACAAACAACAAGTTCGAAGACATCTCGAACACCCTCCAGTACTTGAAGGCTATGAACGATGCTGTCGGGATGACAGCTGCTGACAGGTACATACGACTGGATTCAGAAGCTTACTGGCTTACTCTGCATAGACCATGATATTGACTTGTTTGCTCATCGTGCAAGGCCACATCGAGAAAATAGAAGTTTCCATCACCCCACAAATCGATATGAAATGAAGGGTGTCGGTTGTTTGCGATGGCAGACAAGACTCGCTCCACAAAGCTAGGCGGTCATCAGTGTACCGCTGTTGGAACTGCACGTAACTATCACACGACTGCATCAAGAAGTTGTCGAGGCTTGGCAAGTAGTTGTTTGCAACTCGTCCTACAACTCCCAAGCCAGCGGCGCATGGGGACCCCCTAGGAATAGACGGATATGGGGGGGGGGGGGTTAGGTCAATCGC